CACTCAGGCGAAGCTACGACTCCCTCCAGTACAGTCACTCAGGCGAAGCTAAGACTCCCAGTACAGTCACTCAGGCGAAGCTAAGACTCCCAGTACAGTCACTCAGGCGAAGCTAAGACTCCCAGTACAGTCACTCAGGCGAAGCTAAGACTCCCAGTACAGTCACTCAGGCGAAGCTAAGACTCCCAGTACAGTCACTCAGGCGAAGCTAAGACTCCCAGTACAGTCACTCAGGCGAAGCTAAGACTCCCTCCAGCACAGTCACTCAGGCGAAGCTAAGACTCCCTCCAGCACAGTCACTCAGGCGAAGCTAAGACTCCCTCCAGCACAGTCACTCAGGCGAAGCTAAGACTCCCTCCAGCACAGTCACTCAGGCGAAGCTAAGACTCCCAGTACAGTCACTCAGGCGAAGCTAAGACTCCCTCCAGCACAGTCACTCAGGCGAAGCTAAGACTCCCAGTACAGTCACTCAGGCGAAGCTAAGACTCCCTCCAGCACAGTCACTCAGGCGAAGCTAAGACTCCCTCCAGCACAGTCACTCAGGCGAAGCTAAGACTCCCTCCAGTACAGTCACTCAGGCGAAGCTAAGACTCCCAGTACAGTCACTCAGGCGAAGCTAAGACTCCCTCCAGCACAGTCACTCAGGCGAAGCTAAGACTCCCAGTACAGTCACTCAGGCGAAGCTAAGACTCCCAGTACAGTCACTGGGGAAAGGCTTCGAATCCCTCCAACAGTCACCCACACTCACACAACTGTGTACCTCTGGTGTGGTACAGAGTAATTAACAACACAAACCATACTTCCAGGGTGAGAACTAACTAAAACTGAGGAGATCTTCTTCAGATCACCATGAGAGACGGACCATGAGAGACGGACCATGAGAGACGGACCATGAGAGACGGACCATGAGAGACGGACCATGAGAGACGGACCATGAGAGACGGACCATGAGAGACGGACGTCCAAGATTAGACGTAATAGTATGCGTCGAGGGAGCCATTTGATGGTTCCTCAAGCTGTTGGTAATGATTGTGACGGAGGTTTGTGTGACTCTCAAGGCTTGTTAAGACTTACACCAACCTGGACGTTATATTGGCCTCTAGAACTACTCATTTGTGTCACAGCTCTATGTGCTCTCTCTCTCTCTCTCTCTCTCTCTCTCTCTCTCTCTCTCTCTCTCTCTCTCTCTCTCTCTCTCTCTCTCTCTCTCTCTCTCTCTCACACACACACAGGGGGTCTGGTGGCTGAGCGGACAGCGCGCAGGACTCGTAATTCTGTGGCCCGGGTTCGATTCCTGGACCAGGCAGAAACAAATGGGCACAGTTTCTTTCGCCCTGATGCTCCTGTTACCTAGCAGTAAATAGGTACCTGAGAGTTAGACAGTTCTTACGGAGCTGCTTCCTGGGTGTGTGTGTGTGTGTGTGTGTGTGTGTGTGTGTGTGTGTGTGTGTGTGTGTGTGTGTGTGTGTGTGTGTGTGTGTGTGTGTGTGTGTGTGTGTGTATGTGTGTGTGTGTGTGTGTGTGTGTGTGTGTGTGTGTGTGTGTGTGTGTGTGTGTGTGTGTGTGTGTGGAAAAGTAGTTAGTTACAGTTGATTGATTGATAGTTGAGAGGCGGGCCGAAAGAGCAGAGCTCAACCCCCGAAAGAACATCTAGGTGAATACAACTAGGTGAAAATACACCCACACACACACACACACACACACACACACACACACACACACACACACACACACACACACACACACACACACACACACACAGGGGTCTCGTGATTGAGTGGACAGAGCTCAGGGGTCGTAGTCCTAAGGACCCGGGTTCTATTCCCGGCCGAGGCGGAAACAAATGAGTATCTTTCACCCTGATGCCCCCTATTCACCTAGCAGTAAATAGGTACCTAGGACTTAGCCAGCTACTACGGACTGCTTCCTGGGAACATATATGTGTGTGTGTGTATGTTAGAAATATATGTTGCAGATATAACAGAGTAAAAACAGATTGGTTAGAAAGGCGGGGTCCAAGAGCTAATAACTCGATACTGCAGACACCTCCCCCCCCCCCCACAAAGACAGGAGACGAAGAAACAAGAGAAGATCTGTTTATCCACCATATTTACTGGTCCCGGAGGAGGCAGACACAAGGTATCAAGACAGTAAATTGTCCACATCGGGTTTTTGCCCGTGCTTGTCTCTGGCATAAACCCCGGGGCGGGCGAAGGCCGGGTATATATATGGTTACCATTTTTATCCTGTCCAGAACGACACAAAATACTGCACCTTTTAAAAGCCTTTGGCAACAAAGCGATATTTGGGTCGTAGAAGGTACGAATGGGCACGAAAATAGGGTTTCTCCACATTTTAATTATATATATATATATATATATATATATATATATATATATATATATATATATATATATATATATATATATATATATATATATATACCTAATCGCCAGAATTGCCTACCAAGCCAAACTGTCGTGAAATATTTAATGTTTGCAACAAATTTTGTTATGAAATGTTAACATTTTCATTTTATTAAATACGATTGCAATTATTTTTATGTTGAGTCAAACTAACATAGAAATTTTATCAGACCTAACCTAACCTAACCTACCTAACCTAACCTAACCTACCTAACCTAACCTAACCTAACCTACCTAACCTAACCAACCTAACCTAACCTACCTAACCTAACCTACCTAACCTAACCTAACCTACCTAACTTAACCTACCTAATCTAACCAACCTAACCTAACCTGACATAACTAAGTCAGTAATTCATGTTCCTAATAAAGTAGAGTATTGTTACAAAGCAATTAATTTGGAAAGATATATATGAAAATAACGAAAATCATTCTGCCAGTTAGGCACATGGGACCTTGCATACTAGGCCAAGAAGCGCGGTTCTGGCTATTAGGCACGACATATCAACATGCTAGGGAGCCGGTCGGCCGAGCGGACAGCACGCTGGACTTGTGATCCTGTGGTCCCGGGTTCGATCCCGGGCGCCGGCGAGAAACAATGGGCAGAGTTTCTTTCACCCTATGCCCCTGTTATCTAGCAGTAAAATAGGTACCTGAGTGTTAGTCAGCTGTCACGGGCTGCTTCCTGGGGGTGGAGGCCTGGTCGAGGACCGAGCCGCGGGGACACTAAAGCCCCGAAATCACCTCAAGATAAGATGCGTGCACACAGGTGGGGTATCCGGCTGCGCCCGGGTCTACCTCCCTATACCCTCTTTCCTTCTCTCACTCCTTTCCTCTTTACCGCCAACCTCCCCAAGTTTACCCTCTCACCCACCTCCATCTCTGTCAAAAAAGTAATATAAGGAAGCGCTATGCTAAATAAGCCTACAGCTAACACAACCTTTGTTTCAAACTTTCAGACAGACAGTCAGAGCTTCACTCAGCGCTCTGCCCTGCTCCAGGCTTGGTCTCCGCTACCATAACACTTCACTACACTGCCAACACACACACTCCTGTAACCAAGACTATGCTAAATATATATAAAAACCCACTAAACTCTTTATGTCTTATCACCCAAATACGTACATATATATATATATATATATATATATATATATATATATATATATATATATATATATATATATATATATATATATATATATATATATATGTCGTACCTAATAGCCAGAACACACTTCTGAGCCAACTATGCAAGGCCCGATTTGCCTAATAAGCCAAGTTTTCATGAATTAATTGTTTTTCGACAACCTAACCTACCTAACCTAACCTAACCTAACTTTTTATGCTACCTAACCTAACCTAACCTATAAAGATAGGTTAGGTTAGGTTAGGTAGGGTTGGTTAGGTTCGGTCATATATCTACGTTAATTTTAACTCCAATAATAATAAATTGACCTCATACATAATGAAATGGATAGCTTTATCATTTCATAAGAAAAAAATTAGAGAAAATATATTAATTCAGGAAAACTTGGCTTATTAGGCAAATCGGGCCTTGCATAGTAGGCTGAAAAGTGCGTTCTGGCTACTAGGTACGACATATATATATATATATATATATATATATATATATATATATATATATATATATATATATATATATATATATATATATATATATATATATATATATGTTACAGGTTTAAATACATCTCTGCATTTAATTTCTCTGCCCTGAATTTCGTGAATTTTGCTGATAGGTAAAAATAGCCAACTTGGCCTTTACATCCATGTCAGTCACTTTTAGTTGGAAGTTTTGAATAGAAATAGAAATAACTTCTATTTTGAATAGAAATATTTGAGTGTACCAAAAATTGGAGTAAATTTGTTCCATTTTCTACGCAGTTTAAATTTTTCTTTATATGGATAACTTTGATAATATTCCTCCGCCCCCTCACTTTTTTTAATAGTGTTTAGTGAGGCATTTCTAGAAGAATTCATCCATTAGTTACCTTCCTAACTGTTGACTACATGTTGATGATTTCCAGGATCATCAACATGTGTGTGTGTGTGTGTGTTAACTGCTGGGCCTGCCGAATCGAGCTGTTAGCTCTTGGACCCCGCCTTTCTAACTGTCGGTTAAAAAGACGGTTATCACTGGACCAGACAGTCAAGCCGCCCTCCATAGTGGCCCGTTCACCGCTTCCCAAAGAACCCGGATGATCTTGTGAAAACTGAACCCTTTAATGATCACATTCATCTTCTGCCCCAAACCTTCCGTGTCGAGCATGAAGGAGTCCCATGAATAATGTAGGACCCGCAGGGGTCCACTCTGGCCCGGGCGGGCATCAAAGCTGCCCCGCCAAAACTGACAAACATCACTATATTCCCCTTTCATTAATGAATGTTTCACACGGGCGCGTTCTGTAGCCTGGAGACGTTAGCAACATACAAGAAGGTGACTTTGCGTATAACTTCCACCCAACCACCCCCACCCCCCACCGAGGGTTATACGTTATCTGATAAGCGTGACCGATAACTCTCATTTGATTAGTCGAGTACCTGATAGTGTGTCTGTGTGTGGAGGGTGACAGCGACTTGTGCAGTCAGTCAGAATAATATCGTCTGTCCTCTAGTGGCTGGTACTGGTAATCTCGGTATTATTTCTTTCAAACTCCGGTTAAAGTCTGAAACTTGCTCGTTAAGGGAGATAATCACTATACCACCGGGGACGTGTTTATGTAATTATGGACTAAATCGTTTAAGTGTACATGCAAGTGACTCTTCTGTTGGGACTTTACCAGGAAGCATCTGCTTAGAGGTGTGACAGAGCCTGACACAAGCGACTGGAGAACCACCTTCAGGCAAGAATAAGCTCTGAGGTCATAATCTAAAAGGATCATTGAGAAGGGAACTTACTTGCCCGATCTATAAGATGACATTCTTGTTCAAGAATCCGACGTGATTAGGCATCCTTCGCGAACAATAGAAGTCAGTTCATGAAGGATATAACTCACTATAGAGCTGAGCCAAACCCCTTATGACAGAGGATCACACACTCTACACAACGCCTCGAATCTTTTCCACAGGAATTCGGTGCTAATCCTTCGAACCCTCGGTCATGTTTCATGGAGGTGACTCCCCTGTGTCCCTGCGTGGGACCCCAGCGACGCTGGTGATGCTGCTGGTGACGATGACGGGTCCAGCAGCTGGGAATATCATAGGCTTCGCCATCCCCGACATGGTCCAATACGGCAGTTGTGCAGACGCTCAGACCATCGAACGCCTTGACTTCCAGAACGTAAGTACAGTACTCTACTTCAATAATAATGTTTATTCAGGTAAAAGTACATACATTCAAAATGAGTTACAAAGAGAATGTTGCATTTCTACATAGAGCTGGTATATATACTTTGCCTAAAGCCTAAAGCACAGCGTTTCGGGCTACTGACTCTGCCCGTAGTGTTATCAAAGTGGGAATGCGACTTAAGCTCTCAGAAGATATGGTGGACATGTTGCAAGCCGTCACCAGCAACATGAGGTCAATATGGCCACATGGAAAGCCTAGCGTGCGCGCGCAGTACAACTACTTGGGTACAATCATATAGGCAGTGTTCCATTCAAATTAATTTCCTCCGTCTATATTATGTAAATGATTTTTTCTCTTTATATATTCTTAAATCCCATGGTTATTAATTTGGGTCATTATTACTCATTTAATATGGGTTTAATATTGAAAATAATGAAACAATAATGCTTTTTTGTCATGATGATGAAACCTACGTCCCTGAGTTTCAGTTAAAAAGTTTTAAAACTTCATAATTCTCCTCTGCGTCATAATCCAGTGTGAGGTAACTTACCAGTGGAGCTTCGTAACGCCCCAAGAACACCCTATGTTCAGACCTGCTCTCTCTTCTCTCCCCATATAACTCCTTAATCCCTATTAGTAATCCACACAAAAATCTGGTACTATAACAGCACTTTCTCCTTACACAACTTTTGTAAATTTACACAACTTTGTTAAACCTAATTTTCTTGGGATTACTTTCCCTAACACACGTACTTCGATGATGTTTACTAGTCACTAGGCTGCAAGCCAGCAGCCTAGTGATAATACGTCCAACATGATTCTGATCAGAAAGGCCAGGGAAGGAAAGTGCCTTGTACAACAAGGCCCTGAATACAAAGGTCAGGAAAGGAACCATGCATATAGTTCAATGACCCAGGTTAGAAAGGTCACAGAAGAAAGGGTCGTGGCTATACAGATAATAACTTTGACGAGGCTTCAACATTAAAAAAAAAAAAGATTTAATTATAAACATTAAAAAGTTCATTCTTGAACATTAAAAAAGATAAAAAACATTGAGTTACATTAAAGAAGAAACCGGCACTAGCACCTGCGACGTCTAAAGCACTTAATGATTTATTTATCAGTACACGCGATAGATAATCATGAGCACTTCAAAACAATACACTCAAGAAGGAGGTTATCACGCCATAAGAGTTATGGCCAACATATAAGAACCTCTTGAGACACACACAACTATGAGGAGAGACTACGAGAATTAAACCTTACGTCATTGGAAGACAGGAAAGTTAAGAGGAACATGATCACCACATACAAGATTCTCAAGGGAATTGATAGGGTAGACAAAGACAGTTTAACACATGGGCCACACGCACTAGGGGGGATACAGGTGGAAATTGAGTGCCCAAATGAGCCATAAAGACATTAGCAAGAATTGATTAGTTCCATGTAGTTTTTAGTTGCCCCCCCCCCCACCCTCACACCAGAGATTATCATACCTCTCCCCACCATCACACCAGAGATTATCATACCTCTCCCCACCCTCACACCAGAGATTATCATACCTCTCCCCACCATCACACCAGAGATTATCATACCTCTCCCCACCATCACACCAGAGATTATCATACCTCTCCCCACCATCACACCAGAGATTATCATACCTCTCCCCACCATCACACCAGAGATTATCATACCTCTCCCCACCATCACACCAGAGATTATCATACCTCTCCCCACCATCACACCAGAGATTATCATACCTCTCCCCACCATCACACCAGAGATTATCATACCTCCCCACCATCACACCAGAGATTGTCATACCTCTCCCCACCATCACACCAGAGATTATCATACCTCTCCCCACCATCACACCAGAGATTATCATACCTCTCTCCCCATAGTGTGCCAAATATGCTATCTGTTCCCACGTGTTAATATGAACATTTGTTGACAGTTCAGCGGCGTCTGGTACCAGGTGGCAGACGTCCCCAACTCTTACGTCAAGGTGACGCAGTGTAGCCGGTCCGTGTATAGTTGGGATGGTAAGTGTAGCTAGCCTACCGTCTGGACCGTTTATAACTGGGATACTAAGACATATCGTCTTATAACAGTAAGATATATTAAGCAGATCGCATAATTCAACAAATATGATATATTACCGCTGTTGTAGACGGTGTATAATATATGGTATCTCTTGATAAAGTATAATAAAGACCTCGGGAAAGAAATTATCAAATTAATGAAATGTTGAAATGTGGTAGCCTGAGGCATACGAGCGAGTGATTTTATTCCCAGTCACTCCAAGTAAACAAGGGTACTTGTGTACTTTGAGAGTACACAATAAAACAAGTGTACTTGGAGAGTACACATCCCTAATGTACTCGCCTTCATTAGGGTTAAAACAGTCAGATATGACAATCCAGGAACCCTCAGCTAACAGTCACCCACCGCCCTCCGTGTCCCCCCTGCCTACTTTGGCCCTCTTGCATCATTATATATATATATATATATATATATATATATATATATATATATATATATATATATATATATATATATATATATATATATATATATATATATATATATATATAGAATTTGTTTTAAATTCTTCCCGGACGCAAATATTGACACCTGAATCCAGGACATGTCCTGGAAGATACGAATATATGGGAAGCCTAGCCTAAATTTTGATTCAAATGTTACTTACACACTATCTGGTGAGTGATGGACTCTTGTGATGCTGCTGGTGTAATCTACCACGGCACGGTGCACGCGGGAGATGACGGCTTACAGCACAAACGTAAATAAACAATGGATTAACCTCTCCTTCAGCAGCCGTCAGCTGACTGGCGACCTCCTTCGAAGATGTAAACAAAATAACACGCTCGCCACCGACCCGAAAACTATCGTTCGAATTAACGTAATCTGGTAATTTGTCACATATTAAGCTTCTGTCAAATATTATAGACCATATATTTAGTCTACTAGTATTTATTGCTTCGGGTAGCATTCACTTGCTATGATTTTTATATGTAAATACTGAATACCATGGAAAATCGGGAGCACATCCATGAGTGTGTGAGAATTTACAGTGACAACTTTAACCACAGGCGCTATCTGGTAAGAATATCAAGATATTCCTGGTCCGAACTCTTGGTAAATTGATGTTTTATTAGTTTCTATAATATTATTCTAGCTAATGATGGGTCATTGTGACTTTATATCCAAAGAAGTATTACTGTTTATCTGGCGATATTACCTAAAGATATTAAGATATTCCTCGTCATACATGGTTCAGACGATATTTTGTTACTATGCTATTGCCTTAGATTCTGCTTGGCATACTTAAAGACTGTCCACACTTATATAGGTACTTTAAGTAACCCTCCCTTGTTGTGTATTAGTTTGGTAACTTTATCAAGGTGCCTGCTTGAACACATGAGTTTAACAGGCTCAACTAAGCACCCCAGTTGACGTAAATATTTCATTATACTGTTCCTAATCCCAACCAAAACGTGGTTACGATTACCAACCTTGACCTTCAGGGAGGCAATTTAACGTGATCTCGGAGGGCTGGGACGACTTCGGAGACCAGATTGACCAGATCACCAGCATCTCTCAAGTACAGCCAGCGAACCCAGACCAACCGCATCCTTACCTCCAGATTCGCTCTCCCAATGGTAAGACCGGAGAAGGAAGGGAATAGAATGCAAGTTATGAGAAAGGTAGAAGAAAATATGGGCTCCACGTTGGTCAAAATACACGCCAGCAATCCTCCAGGTTGTGGCAACAACAGCGGTTCTTAATGCTGTTGATGTATCGTATATCGACGACAACTTTCATGTTCTGAAATAATTTATTTTTTCATGTTACAGTTCCACCTGTCCCGTACAACATCATCAACACCGACTACCTGAGCTTTGCCTGCGTGTACTCCTGCTTCGAGTTCCTAGGGGTCAAGGTTGAGATTTATTCCATACTGAGCAGGACTTCAAAGGTGACGAATGCGTCACTGGCTGCTTGTCACGTTTCGTTAGAGGCTCTGGGTGTGGATGTGGCGAACCTGGAGCCTGTGCCTCAGGGTGACGAGTGCTGGTATAACGACCCCAAGCAGCTGCTGGCTGTAGAGAGCAGCAGAGTCACAGAGTCGCAGACCAGCCAGAGTGATGTTGCGCAGATACGACCACATCACCACCATCACCACCACCACCATCATCCAGCCGTCTCTACGCTACCGACGACCAGAACGAAGATTGGATCTGAGAGCAGCGAAGGGATGGAGCCTCATATCAACCATGGTGAAGCCCCGAAGACAGAACCTCACCACCACCACCACCATCACCACCCAGCGGTCTCCACACAGCCTAGTACTAGAGCCAAGACTGTATCTTTGGACAGGGAAGTAATGGAGTCACAGACCAACCACGCGGAAGCTCAGGGGACCGGACCTCACCATCACCACCATCACCATCATCATCTAGCAGTCTCCACACTGCCGTTGACCACAGTGAGGACGCCTGAAGATGTGACACCTGCCGCAAGTGATCCAGATGAAAATTTGATTGAGGACATTGACGAAATACTAAGTTTGATGGTTGAAGATGTGGACAATGTTGAGGAAACTCACTCACACCATGAAGCTGTATCACCACCAGAGAAAATTTCCCAAGCTGGCGAGGATGCGAGAAAGGCTTTTGGTGGCATCAGGACAGGAAAAGGTAACGCTGCAATCCGTCCCTTGAAATCGAACATAAGTTTACAAGGGACCACAACTGTAGAAGCTGAGAAAAGAGGTTCAGAATGCAATATCAAGACCCGCTCAGGTTGTTCTGATAGCTCCACCAGAGGTCAGGCCCACGAACCTGGCCTCCGAGCTCAGTCACTCCCAAAGCCTACTACAAGACTATGCACCAGTATGACAGGTGAGTCAGTTGTGGTAAGATATTATTATATGCACTTAATTCACAAATCAAAACACACAAAAACAGATAAACTTACAGGCAAATGAAAATAATATTCCACTATTTTAAAAACACGAGGAAATGTATATACTTTGATCCGATTCCGAGATCCTCTTTAACAACCAAATCCTCTGATTACTGAAGAGGATCCTGGATTAGGATCGAAATATACAGTCTACATTTCCTCGTTTTTTCTTTTTTGGTCCAACCACTTGAGCTGGACGGTAGAGTGACAGTCTCGCTTCTTGCAGGTCGGCGTTCAATCCCCGATCGTCCAAATGGTTGGACACCATTCCTTCCCTTCCTCCGTCCCATCCCAAATCCGTATCCTGACCCCTTCCCAGTGCTATATAGTCGTAATGGCTTGCCTCTTTTCCCTTGATAATTCCATTCCCCTCCTCGTGTTTTCAAAATAGTAGGTTATTATTTTCATTGATTAGTGTGCAATTGCACTTCATTCTCATTTACAGGCAAATGTTCACAAAGACTCACACACACCTAATATCCACATTAACAGAGCAGTTAGATATTAATCCACCACAATTATTTATGTAGAATAAATCCAGTTAATTAGTCTTCTTAGATCTTTAGCCTGAGTAAAGATTGTATCAGAATTAAGACCTGTCCATATATATGTTTCTTTACTCACTAGTTTAGATGTTTACCAGTTTGTCCCACAAAAAACTTATTGTAAGCTTTACAGTCTTTAGTTATCAAAAGTATAAAGCAGCAATACTATGTTGTTTAATAAAAAAATACCTAATTAACAAGTGAATATGAAGATAATTTAGCTCCTCTAAATATTGCATCTGATTGATAACATTTTATGTTGGTCAGACGTGAAGGAGAAGACAGAGAGTGGAGAGGAGCCAGAGGACCCTGACAGCTGCGACGGTCACTCAGCTGCTGCTGCTCAGACGTACTCAGCATGGATGCTTATCATCTCGTCGAGTCTCGCTCTCTGGGCGAGATAAGAGTGGTACTTTATGGACAGCATCACCACAGATACCGCTCTTTGCTCTCAGCTTTGACTCAAGAGATAGATTTAATACTTGTTAGCTACTGCGGACTCTAGTGAGTGCAGATACTAATGAGTATAGGTTCGATCATTAGTGAGAAGAGGTTCGAGAATTAGTGAGCAGAGATTCAAACATTAGTGAGTGTAGGTTCGAACACTAGCGAGTGTAGGTTCGAACACTAGCGAGTATAGGTTCAAATTCTAGTGAACACTGGTTCGAACACTAGTGTTTATAGGTTCAGATACTATTGAGCACAGGTTCGAACACTAGTGAGTGCAAGTTCGAACACTAGTGAGTACAGGTTCATATACTAGTGAGCAAAGTTCGAATACTAGTGAGCACAGTATCGAACATTAGTGAGTACAGGTTCAGGAGGTCACAAGATAATTCTGTAATGTGTAAGTTGTTATTTTGAACGCCTCTGTTCAAAAAAATATTGAACTAAATTCAATGTCATTTAATTTAAATCATGTGAGTCTATTAGCTGATATCAAGAGCTCTCAACATGTATTAATTTGCATCCAGACAAAACTAGGACGCACTGCGTAACTGGGTCAGACAAATGGAACTGTTTGTGCTTCATTTGTGTTTTGTTTACTTGTCCATTTGTGTATGTGGAGGGGAAAGTGTTTACAGTGCCTTTTAACCTTTTTTTAACCTTCTTTTTAATATAATCTACCCATTAAATAGCCTAACCTAATCTAGACTTTACATAACCTAACCTAATTTGCCATTACATAACCTAACCTAATCTACCCATTCGATAACCTAACCTAATCTTCCCATTCGATAACCTAACCTAATCTACCCATTCGATAACCTAACCTAATCTACCCATTCGATAACCTAACCTAATCTACCCTTTCGATAACCTAATCTAGATTTTACATAACCTAACCTATTACATAACCTACCTATTACATAACCTAACTCAACCTATCCTTTACATAACTAAATTTAGTCTAGCTATAACCTATTATGATAAATTATTTCGTATATATCATTAAAACTTGGGTAGTATAACTTGTTGACATGAAGTTTAACAAGTGCTAACAACGCAGTGTCAATATAAAATATTTTTGCTAAGTAACGCAGCCAATATTTTAATATATATATTTTTTCGGTTTTCTTTTCCCTCTCCCGGCGCTATAAATTCATAGCACCAAAACTCTACTTACTATGGAAATTTACCCATCATTTTATGTTTAATAATTTTAACTGTTAGTAGCACTTCTTTTACTGACGGATTTCCCCAAAATATCCCATCATGTATGAGTCTCAGTCGATAGAATCATGAAAAGTAAGTAATTATGCACTGTGTACAAACAAAAATTGATTCATGGGTAGTGTTATTTATTGTTTACGCACCAACATAGAAAATTGGAGTGTTATTCACCACAAACTGTGCTATTGTGAGCAGGATGGTGCTGGTGCCACATTGGGACATGTGGGATCTAGGCAATGGGAATAGTCTGTAACCTTCTACCAGTATATACTGATATTTGAACGTTGTTACCAAGCACAGTATAACAAGAACATGATGGACTGCTACATTTGCGGGCTAATTAGTGAAAGTGATTTAAAGTATAATCGTTAACTGCGAAAAACTTCTCATTTCTCTTTTGTGGCAATATTTATATAACTATAATTTAAATACACGTTAATTTTGATTCATATTTCTTTGTTTGTTAACATTCTGTGAAAGAAAAAGAGGCAAAATCGTCCGTTTTCTCACTGGCAACAGGTCAATTTCAAAATATAACTTCCCGTGGTCACAAAAGCAAAGTTTAACAGGAATAATAGCTATTTGTTACGTATTTTACGCAATAGGAAAAACACATGCTACTCAGGAACAAACATTATGTGACAAAAGAAGGCGCCGAGCCGTAGAGAAGCCTACGCCCCACCCTCAGCGTCGCGGGATATTCAAAAGGCACAAGATACCACCAGGACTCTTTACGGGATCACCATAGCCCGTGCTACATGGACACCTCGTTCTGAGCAGCTAAATCTAAAACAAAAACAAACACTCAGGACGCCGAAAGGGCGTAAGGAGAAGGGGCCAGATTCACGAAAGCACTTACGAACGTGTACATCTTTCCTCAATCTTTGACGGCTTTAGTTACATTTATTAAACAGTTTACAAACATGAAAACTTCCCAATCAACTGTTGTTATTGTTATAAACAGCCTCCTGGTGCTTCGGAGCTTATTAACTGTTTAATAATTGTAAACAAAGCCGCCAAAGATTGAGAAAAGATGTACAGGTTCGTAAGTGCTTGCGTAAATACTTTCGTGAATCTGGTCCAAGGACTTGGCCTTAGGTAGCGTATACGTCAAAATGCGACGTTCTGTTAGGAAAACGGATTGATTTATGTGGTTGAAAACAACCACATAACAGTCACGATTGAAGAAAGATGTACAGGTTTCGCAAGGAGACAGGTAGGTGCTTGATGAGTCTTGCCCATGTGAACTTCCATGATGATGAGGACAAAGGTTTTGATGAGGACAAAGGCTGAATGTCGAGTACTCTTGTCTCTTCACTTAATTAAACGTCAGACTTAGCATGGCTGCCAGACAATGAGACGAGCAGCTTATTAAGCTGTTAATAATGCTTCGGTAAATTATGCCTAATTGCAATCTGTATTCCAAGATTTAATAATAGCTAAGTATTCCTACATTAATTGTACAATGCACATCTTGCACACTATGGGTAGCTTAATATCTTGCACACTATGGGTAGATTAATATCTTGCACACTATGGGTAGATTAATATCTTGCACACTATGGGTAGCCTAATATCTTGCACACTATGGGTAGCCTAATATCTTGCACACTATGGGTAGCTTAATATCTTGCACACTATGGGTAGCCTAATATCTTGCACACTATGGGTAGCCTAATATCTTGCACACTATGGGTAGCTTAATATCTTGCACACTATGGGTAGCTTAATATCTTGCACACTATGGGTAACTTAATATCTTGCACAGTATGGGGTAGCCTAATATCTTGCACACTATGGGTAGATTAATATCTTGCACACTATGGGTAGCCTAATATCTTGCACACTATGGGTAGCCTAATATCTTGCACACTATGGGTACCCTAATATCTTGCACACTATGGGTAGCCTAACATAACCTAACCAAACTTTAACTTAACCTAACCAAGAATCATAAATCTGTTTGGACACATTAAAACAATGTACCCCAAGTGTCATATGTATACAAAACACATGTATCGTTTGTTCCTAGTCTGCTGTATAGGGCACTCCAATTCATGTGTGCATATGTGTATGAGCGAACTGCTTTAGTGGTCATTGGGACCTCTCTGTAGGCAAGGATTCCCTGTGTTTCTTGTCACTGTGTGGTGGGGATCTGTGAGTTTCCTCCAAGCCTGCACCACCACCAGCCACGCCGGGGAGAAACTACATACGTCCAATATTCCCGAGTGAGTCATTCAGCAAGGAGATGGAAGTTTGAGGTGATGTGACTATCGCTTGGAATAAAAAAATGGAAGAATGTTGGGATTGATAAGGCTGCAGGTTCTGGGGTGTGCTTATCATGCTAACCTGCCTGCTGGCTGGCTGGCTACCTGCCTGCCGGCTGGCTGGCTGCCTACCTGCCGGCTGGCTGGGTGGCTGGCTGGCTGCCTACCTGCCGGCTGGCTGGCTGCCTACCTGCCGGCTGGCTGGCTGCCTACCTGCCGGCTGGCTACCACAGCCAGGATCATTGGGAGGTTTAACATGGTAGCTGTGACAGTCGCTGTGGTACAGGTGATTGTCAGTCATATACTACGATCGTCTCATACCAACAGTCGCTATAGGTTTAAAAGCTACACTCATTCATACAAGATATATATGTATTACGTTTCTTTGCCTTCGATTATTTCGTATGAAATCTCACGAAAGAGAAATGGAGAAAGAAAATGTGTGACAAAGAGAGACGGAGAAAATAACATAGAAATAAAAGAAACTAGAGAATGCCAATTGACCCATACAAGCTAGCTCTTATATCCTCCCATGCTTATTCATATAAATATCTAACCATCACTTGGAACAAATTCAGCAATTTTTCAACTATTATTTGACATGGTGATTTACTTCATAAATCTAGAAGATACAGCTAGAAAGTAGTTATCAAAGTAAGGCACTAAGCTATATATGTGGAGCGAGAGAGGCGGCAAGAAAAAGAGAGAGAAAGAGACACAAAGAAATTATACGATTTTGGATAGAGTTGTCGTCGTCTTGCCTATACATTGAGATCGTTGTGGCTGAATCCTCAAGTGGGCAAGTGACGTTTGCTTCTGTCATGGTGTTCCGTTGAGTGTACTGAGAGTTCCTCGTGCGCTGTAGCTTCTGTTTAGTGCTGGCTGTTGAAAATAATATTTTGTAGAAGAGTTTTGTATGTGGGAGAGGTTGTGTAGTGTTGATCTTCTGCCATGTGAGGTAGTATGGCAGATCACCTTTCTTTAAATGACCTCATATGACCATCAGAGTAATCCTTGTTGACAAGGAACTGGAGCCGTATACGAAAGCACCGTTAACAAAGGCGTAGATAACGCTTCCCTTGAACCTAGTCAGTGCTGTCACTGCCAACATCTTGAGGTTATCTTGAGATGATTTCGGGGCTTTTTAGTGTCCCCGCGGCCCGGTCCTCGACCAGGTCTCCAACCCCAGGAAGCAGCCCGTGACAGCTGACTAACACCCAGGTACCTATTTCACTACTACGTAACAGGGGCATAGGGTGAAAGAAACTCTGCCCATTGTTTCTCGCCGGCGCCTGGGACCACAGGATCACAAGTCCAGCGTGCTGTCCGCTCGGCCGACCGGCTCCCTGGCATTCATGTAGGCATTCCTATGACGGTTCCCTTAATATAGACTTAAGGGTGAAAGCTACCATTCCTTTCCCAGACTGTTACATATAGGAAAAGCAGCTTGCCCTTTCTGGAAGTAATCACGAATGTTATCTATAATATCCCCCCTTGCCTTAGGCGAAATATTAAAGAGACAAGTCAGATATGACAAATCAGTCATAATGTCAGAATATGGAATGTCATTGCCCAAGAAATGCATCCATTTGACGTTGATAATTAAATTTGTTCATGTTGACAAAATTGTGAAAGGTTGTTGGAGAGCGCCAGGTGCCACCTGGCGCCTCCTGTGACATGACCCTCGCTGTCAGTGTTAAGATGCATCATGCAGAGGTCTGCCGGCCCTGTGACGCAGCAGGGGTGGTTGGGCTAGGCTGCAGAGTATCGGAGACTCACCTGCCGTCCCCCACCACACCTTGCTGCTGCGCCGCTCTCAATACCTTTGCTCCGTCACCTCTCCCAACACCTGTGCTCCGTCACCTCTCTCAACACCTGTGCTCCGTCACCTCTCTCAACACCTGTGCTCCGTCACCTCTCTCAACACCTGTGCTCCGTCACCTCTCTCAACACCTGTGCTCCGTCACCTCTCTCAACACCTGTGCTCCGTCACCTCTCTCAACACCTGTGCTCCGTCACCTCAACACCTGTTCACCCGTCAACGTGATCCGCAACACTTACAGCCAAGTGGCACCATTCCTTCACTCCCTACATCCCACCACCTTGTTCTGATGTATGGTACCAGTGCCTAAGCGCTTTCGTTTCTTAAATGCCTTATCTTTCAACACTTGCAAACTACCATATAAATACACGCTAAGTATACACGCA